ATTTAGTCACCCTTGTTAACAAATGCTTGAGTGGCAGAGTCCCTTCTCTCCAAAACACTTTCACCTCAGTTGACAGTGTACATAACTATTCTACCAGATCCAGTTCTGCAGGAAATTTAATTTTGCCTAAAGTCAGAACTGAATCTGGTAGAAGTTTTACTTTTAGGGGTTCTCGAATTTGGAATGCGGGGGTTAGGTAATTTTTTACTTAATTCGTGTTTTTTTTTTTTTTATGTTCTGTGTTGTTTTTCTTGAGATTTTATTGTTTTATGGGTACTGGGCCCTCTGGGAGAACAGTAACTTCTTACTGAAGATGTAACCCAGTATAAAGAATAAATAAATAAATAAAACTTCCTTGAGTCTTCATCTACTACCATTTGTTGGTATGCTTGACTTTATAAGTCTAAGGTAAAATATTTTCCACCAGCAAGTGTGGTGATTAGATCCTGTGGTGGAGGAAGGGGATATTTCTCTACATCCAAATACTGATTAATGGTCACCATAATCCCCACATATGCGCACATAATTATCTTCATTGGGTACAATTACACAAGAGGTTGCCCACTCTGCATGATAAACTGGTAGCAATATACTGAGCAATTAATTCATCTAACTTAGCATTAATAGCTGGCTTTAATTCATATGGTGCTGGCCTTGGTCTGCAAAATTTTGGTTCCACATTTCTTTTAACAGATAACTTCACCTTATGATTAGTCATGATGCGAAGACTATCCTTAAAAATGAATGAGTGTTTTTTACATATCTCAACCCTACTTGGTCATGTTAGGCAATGTGGCAGTTTGATTGTTATAAATTATCTGAGTTTCAAACACACCCATTACTGGTAATTTATCACCTGAATATATTCTGAATGTTTCATCATACATATTCAATGGAATGTCAGCAAAGTGACTTGCATAGAATTGTTTTGGAATTATTGTTTTCAAAGAATCTGTATCTACTTCAAACATAACCATTTTCTCATTATTCTCATTGATACTCATGGTGTTAGATTCTGGGTTTATGTAATTTGCAATATTTTAAAAATAGTTTCTATTTCAAAGGTACTTATTTTTAAAATTCTATGTCAACGGTCATTTGTGATGTCTCTGTTAGCAGTTTTAAATCTTGTCTTAAAGATTATTTAAGACAGCAATTTTGCAATTTCATGTTATGTGTTTTTCTTAGAGATTTTATATTTTATAATATTTATATTTCTCTGTCCTTTTTATATTTTCGTATTTACTGTTGAGGGCCCCCTCATGAAATATTGTTGAAAAAATAAATAAATAATGAAAACCTTCAATTTGCTATTGACTCTCTTGGTTTCTGCATGCATCCCCAAAATTTAAATCATTCCGATGTAATACTCGATTTCAGCATAAGGTGGGAAGCCAACAATTGCTGAATTCATCGTTTGTTTTGTCAACTTTTTTTTCTGGGGGTGTCACCAGGTTCTTAAGTAGCTTGTAGGTTTCACTACCTACTTTACCTCACTAATCCAATTCTGGTAGCCATTATTTTACTCTACCCCATCTACGTCGTCACTGTTGTATTCTGAATGTTCTTATTTGGAGTATAAACAATGAACGACAGTTACACACAACATAGAGTCAACACTTTTATTCAACACGATCTGTATGTATGTTCTGTATACGTTCAGCTGCTCTCACATGGTGAGAGCGTGTAGTGACAAATGCTGCCCTCAATAAATTATTGATCTCTTTCATACCTTTAGAATCATCGGCAAACAGGGCAACAGTGAAATTCTTGACAATAGGCATATCGTTAATGTAAAGGAGGAACAAAAGTGGTCCGAGAATAGACCCCTGAGGGACCCCTGAGATTACAGGCAGCCATTCGGAATAGGATCCTTCAACAGCAGTGCCTTGATAACGGTTGGATAAGCTGTCATCCAACAGTGAAGATTTGAGTGGATACCGTAAAACTTAATTTTGTGCTCTAGTAATGGATGGGACAAGCTAACAAAAGCCTTAGAAAATCAAGGTAGATAAAGGTCAATTTGCCTAGAATTGTCAAGAATATCACTGACACCGTTAAAAACTGTGAGGAGCTGACAAAAGGTAGAACGCCCTTTGACATACCCATGTTGTGAATCGTAAAAAAACACTTTTAAATTAGGATTAATAACGTCACAAACAAGTCTCTCAAGAATTTTAATTGATATATAAAGCAAGGATATTGGCCTGTAGAAGAAAGGAGGCGTTTTATTATATCGAAGTGTCAACCGAAGTGGAAGTAATTTGGCTGATGATCAACCATCTGAAATTACAAAGAGCCGCACCATACATTGCCCTTGCTGGGATTTACATTTTTGAAATTCTACATCGTGAACTGCTGATTTGATCAACTAGCATAAGCTTAGAACTTGTCCGCACACAGAAATCTCTAGCTGCAAAAATGCAACCATATCCTTATGCTAAGGTTATGAATTGAAACAAATTGTTCATTTGCCTACCAGAGGTGAGGCTACTTTGAATTTAGTGATTACTAATGTGCCAGACTTATTTTATAAAACCATCTACGTTGTCCCAATAAGTAGAAGTGATAAAAACCAAAATGTATAGGTGTAATTTCACGTCTTCCTGACGTGGAAATGTACTGAATACTCAGTACATTTGAAAACAATTGCGAAAAACAAACATTACGTTCTCTTCCCACCCACTGAGGGACCCCATTATGTGCGATAGTCAGGGTAAAGCTTGGTTTCCATATAATCGCTCACCCTATCGGCGACAGTTGTCGGGAAGGTTAAACCTGGTTTAACTTTTCCATTTGCGTTGCAGATGCAGATGAATCTGGGTGCATTGCTGGCTGCCCTGCGCAATCAGGAAGGCACCCCGACTCGTCTGTGTGTCACGACTGTCGCCGATAGGGTGAGCGATTATATGTAAACCCAGCTAAAACTCTGGATCGGTGCCTGAGAAGTCCCTATTCTCAAAATTTTCTTTTCCCTCAGCCCTAACCATGGTGGGGGCAGTGAGGTGGACCCTCGCACACCCCCTACCGCCAAATCCTGCATCTGCTTACCCAAGTCAAATGCATGTTTTGACCAATCAGTTAACAAATGTAATAATTATAATGTAATTTGAAATAAAATGTGATTGGTGTATTTTCTTTAATATTATCTAGTGTATTTTTGCATTTACATTGAACTGAATTAACATAACGAAAAATAATTTGATCAATGAGGTATGAAGGAAAACAATTTCTCTTAAGGATGGTAGTTAATGCCTTGGTATTATAATGTGCTATTGAAGGGATTTACAGTATAGTGATATATTTTCTATACAGTAGTTCTTCAAACTACATAAATTCAACATTATTACATATTGTTCCTTATATTATTATACATTGATTTTATATAGTTTGAGGAACTATTTTTAAATTTTTTTTAATTATTTTATTTTATTGTGTCTCGAGATTGTTAACATTAGGAGCTATATAAATATTAGTTATTATTATAGAAAAGTATCAATCCCTTCTGGCAAATCCTGGTGCCACCCCTGGAAGGTTGGGGTTACAGGACCATCACTGGAGGCCTGTTTTGATGACCAAAACAAGTTGACACCATTCTTTTAGACTTTGCTAAAGCATATGACACGGCCCCTCATAAAAGACTCCTGCACAAAATTAGACATTTTGGTATTACTCGACCTCTACACAAATGGATCTCATCTTTTCTTATCGGCAGAAAACAGGCTGTTAACATTCGAGGAATAGCATCAAAACCAGTCCACTCAGGAGTGTCCCAAGGTCACAGTCCTGAGACCCCTTTTATTTCTGTTATGCATAAAAGACCTGCCTGATGGACTCAAGTCAGATGTTCGCTTGTTTGCAGACTACTGCATTATCTATCATCCTATTACAAAGTCAAAACTGTGAAAGAATAACGATCTGAAACACCTCGAGAAGTGGGAAAAGAAATGGCTTATGTCATTTAAACCTGATAAATGCAGTGTTCTTATGTTTCAGTACAAAGAGAAATATTTTGGAATTTTCTTATCATCTGTCTGGTCATGTCCTCCAGCCCCTTCATCAACAGAAACATCTTGGAGTAACTCTATCTACTGATATAAAACGGAATCCGCATGCAGACAGGGTAGTCGATAAAGCCAATGGCGTGCTGGGATTCCTTCGGCGCAATTTAGGCAATGCTCCGAAGCATATAAAAGTCTGGTTTGACCACATGTTGAATACTGTAGCTCTGTATGGGATCCGCATACCAAGGGCAACATTGAAAAAATTGAGGCTGTTCAAAGACGTGCGGCTCACTTTATTACCAATAACTATTAGTGGGATTCCTCTGTTACTGCTATGCTTAAAGAAATCAACCTTCCTCCACTTGAACACAGACGGAATGTCAACAGACTAGTAATGATGCACAAGATTGTTCATCAAAATATTGATCTAAAGTTTGATAACCACCTGAAATTCAACAGACGAGCGACTGCTGCTAGGTGCACAAGAAACCATAATCTTTCATTGAAGATACCAAAGGCCAAGAGAAATCGCTTCCTATACTCCTTTTTTCTCAACACAGTGAAAGACTCCAACCGGAGTTTATCTGTTATACTATCAAGATCAAAATACAATACCAACATTTTTGTCCCAAAAAATCTTTTATTTTCTTTATTTCTTTTTTATCCTTATTTGCTTATTAGGGAATGATCATATAGATTTAAACAGTTTTACAAGTTTAAGTAGGCCTTGCACTATAATAGTAAAAAATACCAAAATATTAAAAACCATATATTATGTTTTTCTTCGTTTTTCTAGTTATCAATGTTACGATGCCAGATGAAAAACAGAACTACGTCCATCGCATTGGTCGAGTAGGAAGAGCCGAAAGGTAATCTAAAATCTTGAGCACTACCTCAGTATCCACTTCAAAGAGTTACTATTATCATTGATGAAATATTCAAGCTTAAATGAACCAACTGCCTGCAAGAACAGAATTACTTCCGTGACAGGAATTTTTACTTGTGTTTCAGCTTACTATTTTTTTTACTCTTACAGGATGGGTTTGGCAATTTCACTTGTATCAACAGTACCTGAAAAGGTATATTATATATTATTGTCTGTATTTCATACACATAACTTAATACATCTGGATAATATTACTCCACACCAACTTCACGCAAATACTGTACAATAGATATACTCTTTAAGAGTATATCTATTGTATTTGCGAATAATAATATTATTCTTGCCACAAATAAGATAAAGTTTTGGCTACCACAATAGTATTATATGTGTAAGCATGTATGTATCTGTCTGTATCTTTACTGCTTTTTTTTTTTTTAATTGTTGTTGGTGCTGCTGCTGCTGCAACTTTGTGCAGGTCAATTAGAGCCACAATAGCAAAAGACAGTGTGGTAGAAGGTCTTTTATAGTTTATCATAGTTTTATTTAATAAACCTGGAGCTGTTACATCCCCATTACTTGTAGTGTTGTGTATGTACGTTTTTATTGAGAAATAAAGTATTTTCTGGATTTGAAAATTGGATAAATAACAAGAACATGAAAATTGACTTTGTGCAGGTCTATTAGAGCCACAGCAAAAGAAGGTATTTTATAGTTATCATAGTTTCAATTAATAAACATGGAGCTGTTACATCAATCCCCACTATTTGCAGTGTCATGTATGTATGTTTTATATAGCAATATATTCTTTTCTGGATTTGAAAATTGGATAAATAACGAGAACATGAAAATTGTTTTGTCATTACGTGTTTGTGTACTTTTAGTAATTTAATAATAAAATGTGGAATATATAATCATTTGTCATAGGTTTGGTATCATTCATGCCCAAGCAGAGGTAAGAATTGTAACAACACAAGACTGAAGACTGATAATGGCTGCTGCATATGGTACAATGAAATGCAGGCAAGTTTGCATTCATACTGTATGTATCTGATTTATTTAATAACATTTTGTTTTTGTGGGATTTTAAAAAACACTCAACAATTGAAGTTGTATATATACATTACCAACATGACAATTTTGACTGGAAAGTGGCTGAGAGAATTCTTGGAATACAAAGACTCGCAAGTGTTTGGCTGGAGGCAACAGTACATGGATTTAATTTCTAATATTTCATCAAGCTTAGGAACCGTTCTTCTTTTACTTGACCTTTTGTTATGGTATATGCCTTAGACCTGTTGTAAAAGATCACTGGTATACTTTTAATTTATTTTCTTGTCCTTCTCCAACTTCGATTTTTATACGTTTTTTGGTCTCTCCCAATGTAATCTATTAAATAGATGAATCTCAGGGCAGGAGGGAGGTATACGTTAAAATGTTCAGCGGCATCAGCTCCTTGCGGGTGGTAGTGGTAGTAGTAGTTAGCAGTTGAGTAGGTGGCCTACAGGCTGAACATAAAACTACCAGTGACTGAAGTTTCTTTACAGCAAAAAAAATCCACTGGCAGATAAAATTACGCACCATGCATATCCAAAATATACATTAAAATGGCAAAATTGAAACTTGGAACAGAATCAAAGGAGGTTACACAGCAGGTACACAAGTCATCACAGAAAAAAAAAGGTTGGCCAATAGCTTAGTACTTCTGTGTACATATCCATCGAAAGTATTTTGCAAGTGGTCTGGCCATTATAAGAGAAGCATATTGCTAGGAATGAAGTAACAGAAACATGGGAGGGGATGGATGGAGTGATTTGTTTTGTAGATATTCGGAAATGTACTCTTCTTCATTCTGAAGTGATTAGAATGTCAAACTGTCTATAAAAAATTTTCAAAAAAATCTGGTTTCTCGGCATTAATATAGCAGAGTATCAGTATTTTCGGAATCTTAAAAAAAAGTCAGCGAGTGAGAAATGGGATCGCACTCTTCGCGTAACTATTTGTATTATATTTGGGAGCGAGGTATGTTCTTCTCTTCCGTAGAGTCATGTTATGATTACTTGTATTCTTTGGAAACCTCTGAGTATCTACTGTAGATGTTTTAGCACATTCTTTCCAAACTCATTACAGAGATGGAGATGTTTGTCAGCCATGGTCTGGAGTCCCAACTGTTCCAATGATCCCGTGTATGAGACGTAATCAGGACCAATAATGATCCGACATGCTCTCATTTGAATGCACTCCAGTTGATGCGTTTGGTTTCCGTTACACTACAGAGCAAAACTGGGGCTGCATATTCACTAATGGGCAAACATAACAGGTGTACACGGAAATCAAATCTTCAGTTGAGACACCAAAGTGTCTGGAAAGCATATATAAACTTTGACTGCTTTTACTAATGTTTAGTGAGACTGCCAGCCAAGATTGAACAGGACAGTCAGACCCAGAAGCCTGGTTTCGGACACCACCTCAAGCTCAACCCCGGCAATTTGAAGGCAAGGGGCATTAGGTGGCTCTTTTTAGAAGCATACCTTCATAACCTTGCACTTGCTAGGATTGAGCCCGAGGCGGTTGTCATTCGCCCAGTCATCCAGGTTCGGAACATCCATCTCAATTTGGCTTGGTTGGTATGCAGGACGGACCTCTACAAGACTGAGGTCATCGACATACTTAAAGCTTTTAGCCAGAGACTCTTCGGAGGCACAGTTGATAAAGGCCATGAAGATGATGGGACCGAGTTTGGTGCCTTGATACCACAGGAGAGAGTTTTCCATTGTGATAAACCACAGCGATATTGTGCACTCCTTTGCGACGAGATGTAAGGAAGTTTGTTATGCAAGGGAACAACTCGCTTTTGACTTCAAACATAAAGAGTCTCTGGATAGCTAAAAAATGGTCGATGCAGTCAAATTCCTTGGAGAAGTTCGTCGCAACAAGGGTGCCAACATTCCTTCCCTTATCAATACCTTTAAAAAAATGACCAAAAATCGCAATTAGACAATGTGATATGAATGAGCCCTTAATATCACCATATTGGTTACGGTCAATTACAGTACATTAGTTGTATTGTTCATCACCCAGTTTGAGACAAATCCTTCACAAACCTTTGTAAGAACCAATGTCAGTAAGATGGGCCTTAATTTAGATATTGAGGCGGGGTTGTCTTGGGAATCGGGGAAATTAAGGCATCCTTCCATGTTTGAGGAATGATGGCATATTTTAGTGAAGAATTAAATATATTACAAACAGGAGCGCTGAACTCACAAATTCTTTTAGCAGTCTCCCAGGAAGACCATCAGGTCCGGTTGCCTTTTTGGAGTTGATTTTTTTAAAACTGATTATACATATCCAACACTTTAATTTTTGGTGGGTGGTTTACAGCAATTTTTTTGACATTAATAGGGGTTCTCTCTTTAGTTACTTTAGCAAATTCGTCACTTACAGCTTCAGCAATCTTCATCATCATCGTGTTGGACCCCTGGGGCTGTAATAATAGGATGCTGATGGAATGTGTTAGTTATTGCCACAGAACCATCTGTTTTCTGAGTAAGGCAATCTGTTGTTTTGTATTCAAGACTTTTATCTCAGAAGAGATCCATGGTTTGTCATGGGAATGAAGTTTAATTAACTTAGTTGGAAAGTAATTTTCTATAGCATCTTGAACTGTAGAGAAAAAAGTGTCAGCCTTATTAGAGGTAGATGATGCATCAATAACTTCATACCAAGGATGCTGTGTAATCCATCTACCAAACTCGAAAATACAGTGCTTACGTAAGGGCATAATTATTTGCCCTTCTTACTTTATTCGATTGGTGACAAGTAGATAATATTGTGGTCACTTCTCCCAATAGGAGAGCCCACTATATTTTTCTTATGATAATCCTTAAGATTTGTAATTATTAAGTCCAAAATAGCATTACACTGAGTAGGTTTGTCTACAACCTGTTTTAACAAATGAGCTCTACACAATGGATATTTAAGTCTGTTCTAGATCTAGTAAAAATGTTAAAACCCCTTACTGTGATATAATCCTTATTGACCTTATCCGATTGTCAGGTTTCAGTAAAAAATGGAATATTAATGGATTGATATCTGTTTACTTCAATAATATTTCATGTTCGTCAGGTTTGTTGAATAATGATACAAGATACAAGATACTTTAATGATTTAATTTTACTTTAATGATTGAGCATTTGTAAGAGCATAGAGAAAGAAGAAACAACCCTGTAAGAAATTTATCTGTATAATTTTTTGTTACCTGTGCTGGTGATATTTTTGTAAGTACAGATATTCAAGGAAGGCGAAAAGAACTTGCTAGTCTGCCTTACAACCACCACCCGTATCGGGCATTTGATTTTCTGTCCTGCTTGTCTGCCTTTAAGATATACAGTTTTAAGTATTCCAAGTTAATTAAGTTCATGTTTTATATCAGATGAAGGTTTAATATTCCTTAATTCTTAAGACTTAAACGTCTTAGCATTCTATACATACCGTGCCAGAGTGTAGGGTAATTTCACCAATGTACAGTAGTAAACAAAGCTGCTTGTATTCATCTAGGAACCACCTGTTGAAATTGAGAACGACTTAGTGCAGCCATGGTACGTTAGGCCTGGTCAATTCCATATCACTCGTGTCAGTAAATAAGTTTTAACATCATGCAAAACTGTCAAATTCAATTAAAGTTGATAAAACAGAACAACGTCCACAAAATGCACAGACAAGACAAAGAACAGAGAACAATTATTGAGGAAAAAGATTAAAAAATCGGACAAATCTTGTGACAGCTACCAATTGCCACTACTGTACTTCCTTGCATTGTGACAGCTACCAAACTCAAGAATTTAAGGTTCATAGGAGGATAGAGTGTATGGTCACCTCAGCCCTGCAATGGAATTTTGAAAACAAAAATTATCCTCCAGGGCCCAGGAAATATTACATTTATAATACAAAATCATTTAATTTACTTCATTTTAAGAGTCAATATATCTGTACTAAAAAAATGGGGGGGGGGGGGAAAAGGGAACGAAGAAGAAAGAGAAGAGATTATTACAAAGAAAAAATGATTGTCTGTGTGTTTTTTTACCATTTCCTGACTCAGGCCAGCGTCGTTTTCTGTTGCAGTCTAACGGCAGTAGACCCGAGGCATTATGCCAAAGCAGAAGCTGCTGTTGTTACATCAAATTTGCCAGTGTGTTTATGGGTATGCGTACTAGTGAAACGAAGCTGCCTTGAGACTGATTGTTTGAACCTCTCTTAAAGCACCAAATTATATACCTTGAGTTGAATACACACAATCATCCAATATGCATCCAATATTATTATTTTAATAATTAAAATTATTATATATTATAGCTTGCATATCGATGATGCAGACTGATGCATATACCCGAGTGGCTTCCTCTGTCAGTATTTTTACAATTTTGTATAAATTTTTTTTTTTTTTACTGTTTAGAACATGTACATTTTGTTTGGATTGGTTGCTGAGCACACTTTGTAACTGTTTACATTGTGTAGTCATTCATAAACTGTGGAATTTCAGCATGTGTGAGAACATGTCACATAATATCCTAACCATATAACTTAGCTTAATATGAATATTTGGTGTCCATTGTACAGTATCTGGCTGATGTTGAGGAACACCTTGGTATAACCATTGACACTGTGGACAAGGACATGAAGGTATTGGTCAATGAGTTTGATGGCAAAGTCACTTACGGTCAGAAGAGTCAAAACAAAGGTAATAAATAGATTATTTCACATTTTTAAGAACTAACATTGAATAGACAAAATTGATGACTTGAGTCGTGTGACAGCTAGTGGGTGAAAATTTTGAAAGGACAGCATAAGTGTTGCTTGGTAAAAAAAATATACATGGTTTCTTCGGAGTGTTTCTGCTATAAGGCAAATACTAGTTGATTTTCAATAAATAATAATGTTGGTTGGAACACCATCAAACTATACTAAATTGATTAGAAATTTAATTTGGATATTTAATTAGGATATTTTCATGGTTTGCTGATCTTTCAGTGGAGGAACACTGGATTTTAAATTTATTCTAAACAGTTGATCGTACTTTTCATGACCACGTGGACTATCAAAGTTATCAAAGTGTGTGTTTATGATTTCTAAATTTGAAATCTTGGACATACTATTGATGTGGGATTACATCCCATGAGCACCAAAGTAAAAGCAATAAAGCAGGCTTCATCACCTAAAAATATCACAGAATTACTGTACAAGCCTACAAGGATTGTTATACTGTGTGTCTGTCTGTTGTATGTGTGTCCGTCCAGGCACAAACTAAAAAATCCACCGATTAACCTCAAATTTTTACATATTGACAATATTACATATATCTTGGTCCTTCTAATTTGCTGCTGATAGATGCAGATATTAGACTGTTGTTTATATGTTATGCTGACAGTCAACTCGAGCAGATTGTTCGACCGACTCGTTTGATTAGGCCATGTGTCAAGTTCTAGCCGGTGGACTGGAAGCGGTTCGGACAGTGTGCAAGCCCGATTGATGGGCTTGCCATCGCGGATGGATTGTGTTAGATACCTTGTTACTGTAGGTAGACACAAGCAACAACAACAAACAACAAACAACCAAACATACTGCAGCTGTGGTTTCCAATAGAATGACGATTTATTGTCGTACACATTTATTACGTCAACAATATAGTGTACACAATATCCATCTGCATAGCGGGCAACTCACTCACTGTAATAATTAATGTAAATACAGGCCATTAGTCCCCGTTTAAATTGAAAACCATTTTCTTTTTACATTTTTTTTTTTTTACATTTTAAATTTTTACACTCCCTTAAACACAATAATTTCTAGTTCAGAAAAAAAAAATGCATTCTCTTACTTTGAACTTCACAAAGAATATTGTACACAAGAAATTTATTAATTAACCAACACATTACAACATTATATGAAAAAAAATTGTACAATTACTGTATAAAATTACATGTGATATGTTTTAAAAATAAAAAAATAACTTTTATGATCATTTCCAAACTTACATACACACATCTATCCTTAATCTGATCCACAGGCCTTTTAAAAATCATTTTATTTCCCACATCAATTCGGTAGTTAAGAGGACCTTCTTTTTTTTACAACAACACCCGGAATCCATTTACCCTGTCCCAGGTAATTTCTAACATAAACTAAGTCATTTACTTCATAGGAATGCATCGTTTTGGTTTGTTTTTGCATAGCCTTGTGCAAACTATTCTTTACCAAACTATTAAGATTAGGGCGTAAATCATCTAGTCTAGTCCTTATTGGACGGTTCATAAACAATTTAGCAAGCGATTCTTTCGTTAACAAGTGTTCCAAACTTGTTCAAAAACCTATCTAACTTAGTTTGGGCATTCATTTCTAGCAGCCCTTAATTGCTACTTTAGTGACTGGACAAAACGGACATTAAAATTACGGTTAAATAAAGTTCTCAACACCCCAGTAGTTTTCTCTGCAGTTGTAGAATGCATAATAAGCCCTTCAGGCCATTTTGAAAAAGCGTCAATTACAATAAGGTAAGTGAATCCTTCAAACGGGCCTACAAAATCTACATGTATATGCTCCCAAGGTGTGAAAGCAGGTAACCAAGGATGCATAGGGGCAGTTACTGGATTATTTTGCAGGTTCATCGATTTGGGCATCTACTGTAATAATGGCCACCAAAAATATGAACGGGCTAAGGCCTTCATCTTTACTATCTCAATATGACTAATATGTAATTCATTTAAAACCCGTTTTTGCAATTTTGGAGGAACTATTACATGTATTCCCCATAACAAGCATCTCCCTCAACCGTTAATTCATTTCTCCTATTGTAGAAAGGCTTTAAGTATCGTTAATTTCTAATTCTGGCCATGTGCCATTCATCAAATACATTACATTTGATTACATTACGTCCTTTCTAGTATTATCTTTTATTTCAGCGCTAGTGACCGGAAGTATCTCACTCGCTACAATATGTGCAAATTTTACTCTGGCGGGGCGGTCCCTCTACTGGCTATCTAGATAAGCATTTGCTCTGCTGTTCCTAAATTGAATATTATAGTCAAACCATGAAAAATATAGAGCCCACCTCTGAATTCTCTCCGCAGCTAACACAGATAACCCTTCTTAGGACCAAATATTGTACTCAGAGGTTTGTTATCAGTTATCAAAGAAAAATTTCTACCATAGAGATACAGATAAAACTTTTTAAGTGCATACACAATGGCCAAGGCCTCTCTTTCAAATTGTGGGTACTGTTTCTTAGTTTTGTTCAAAAAACGAGAAGCCATACTCGGATCAAAGTGTTCTAAAAATCCAGAATATCTTAGCATATCTTTAGACTTTTCCCATGCATCTTTAGCTTTATCTGTCCACTTAAATTCTTGTCCTTTTTCTAGCATTTTTGTTGGTGCTAACACTGTGGCTAATTGAGTAACAAATGAACGATAATAATTTATCATGCTGAGGTATGATCGCAAACTGGTAGAACTGTCTCTTATACACATCTAGATGTGTATAAGAGACAGTCCCATGAGCACCAAAGTAAAAGCAATAAAGCAGGCTTCATCACCTAAAAATATCACAGAATTACTGTACAAGCCTACAAGGATTGTTATACTGTGTGTCTGTCTGTTGTATGTGTGTCCGTCCAGGCACAAACTAAAAAATCCACCGATTAACCTCAAATTTTTACATATTGACAATATTACATATATCTTGGTCCTTCTAATTTGCTGCTGATAGATGCAGATATTAGACTGTTGTTTATATGTTATGCTGACAGTCAACTCGAGCAGATTGTTCAATTTGGCAAAAAGTAAGTCAGAATACCAACTTTGAGCTCTTTGTCTTGTCTGTAGGCCGAAATATGGCATTCTGAAATCCGAAATTATTCAAAATGTCACTTTTCGCGATTCGCGAGTGCGTAAAATGACAAAGTCCAGCAAATTTCAAACGGCCATATCTCAAAAACGACATGGAGTATGACTTTCAAATTTTGCATGTGTTCATATGAGCAACATATCATTATTCTGACCAAATTTCATTAAAATCTGAGGGGGTCACCTGGGGACCTCTGGTTGATTTGACATGGAATGACCCAATACAGTGTCCTAGATATTCAATAGACGGTTTCATAAATTCGCACTTTTCCTGCTTTAATTTTAACCCACTTTCTTCCAATCTATCCAAAAACCAATCTATTTGCTGAAACAATCCTTTTTCAGGAATGTAGGACATAAACCACCCAGGACAATAACCACCTGGACGAAAACCACCCAAACTGGAATATACCATTGTGAAAGTAGGGTGGGCAGTGGGGTAGACAATGTTGGGTGGGCCTGTTTTTATCACCTTCACAATAGGATAGATTACACTGTGACTGTGACCTATTATACGCCTTTAATTCATTCAACTCTTTTGACAACAAGCGTATGTTAATAATCATTGTAGATCTCAGTAATCACTGTGCTTAAAGTTTGCATTTTTTTAATGATTTTAACATAAAAATTCAAAGCTTTATGGAAATTAAAATGTAAAATTTTTAGTACAGTTTTAATACATTTAATAATATTTTTTATCTTTATAGTATTTGTCTAATATTTTAGTATTCTAATCTTTAAATTTCTAAAAGTACATATCCCTAACCATCCCTACTTCCTTTAAAAATTATTATTTCCAATTAGATAATTCCCTTTAATAATAATAATTTAAATGTAAAAGTCATCCATTAATGAATGTAACTTAATAAGATCTTACACCCAACTCTGTTCTGTTTGTTTCTGTTTCCTCACCGCTCTTCCTTACCTCATGGGTCGCGAACACCATGTGCCACTCAGCTAGGCCTACTTTCAAGTGATGAGCGATCCGTACCAAGAAGTCAGCCTTAAAATCAAAATAACCAATCATACAAAAATACGAGAACAAGATGCATATGATACAACAAGTTTTCAAGTGGAATATTCCAATGATTGGTAATAACACGAGAACAATTAGGCCTTACAAAGTATACTCACCATACACGACGGCTAGCTCAGAGGAATGCAATGCTCCAGTGTCAAGTGAAACACAAACAATAACTCAAAATTATACCCTGATAATTTCTATTAGGCGCGTAGCACGGAATCTACCACTGCATAAATGCTCTTCTTCGCCTCACGTGGTCCTACAACACAACGGCAGGCACACACTGTGCAGGGAGACGTATGTTTACTTGACAATCAACATTGGAGCAGAGAACGAATCGTCTGGCTTCACAATGTTATATACCACCTCATTTACATATTAGCTACCCATGTGCATATCGTATCATATTCTAATATCACTGTTTTGGATTGGCAAACTGATGATTTCGTGACACCCTCCCCCTTAAAGATAAATGTTTCACATTTATTACATTAACTATAGCACGATATATCATCTGTTTATTCTACGAACACTCTACTCAAGAAGTCAGCGCCATGGTTTTCGCTACTCTTAATAGTTCAAATAAAAAACATATAAGGTTGCAAAGCCAATGCCCATCGCACTAGTCTGCCATTGGCTAGTTTCTTTGCCTTTAAGCAACTTAAGGGGTGGTGATCAGTTTTGATTACAAATGCTTTTCCATACAAATATGGTTCAAACTTTGATATTGCCCAAACTATGGCTAGACATTCTTTTTCGATAACAGAATATTTTCTTTGTGCATTATTTAGCTTTTTACTGGCATATGCTACATGTAATGTATGACCATCTCTTTCTTGCAA